AGAAATGCTGTCACATTTGAGTGGAAATAACTATACAGTCATGACCTGGACTTTGCTATATCTAGATTTCTTTAGATGCTCCTACTTCTTCTATGTAAAACTTGTATCTAGAGGGAATATGAAACGATCTTAACTTTTAATGGGGAGGCTCTGAAATTTGAGCTCCAACAGTTGGTGACTGTGCTATGGGCACTGCAGTATATCTGGGCACATCTCTCCTATGTGTCCACTTCAGTTTACCTGAAGGGTTCAGTTTAGTGTGCATTGACTGTCCTTTTTGGTTTCAACGTAATACATGCAGGGTATCCCAGAAGTATTCAGACTCACTGCACCTGTGTAGTCCTGACAGGAGAAAAAAAATTTATGAATCAGTATCACTCTTAAGGCATAGTTCTGTCTGTGAAAATATTTGCTATATAAAGTCAAAGTTAACTTTTCAAAAAATAAGCTTGTATGCACCAGATATGACAGTAGCAAAAAATCCAAATGGCATTTTTTTTCTACAGCTCTTGCTGAGCCACAAGCTCTTTAGGACAAGGGCTTAGTCTTTTTAAGTGTATAAAACCCATACTCACAGTAAAACCATTATGATAATCCTGCATTATTGTTATCGTGTTAATTAGCAGTTATTTTTAGATTTGAACTGAGGAGTGCTGTTGAATTCATTTATCAAGGAAAAAAAGGCCTTTTGTACATCTGCTCAGGCTACAGTCAACAAGATAGGCAGTGAAGCATGCTACACCTGATACGGTGTGTCTCTAGCATGTTAGACACAGTAGGGGTGAAACTGGCTTTCCCAGAAATGCTGTAAAGAAAGGGGTATATAGTGTAACATTTATTCTTTAATTAAGTTACTACTTTGGAACACTATTTCTCTCTGGTCCTCATCTATGCAAAGTAATAGCAGATAGAGACATCTTATCCCTGTGCAGTATTTCAGCAGGCCATCACGATAGCTTTATTAATAAGATTCATTTGATAAACCTTTTCAGATTCTGAATGACAGCAAAATCATTTTTTTTCCTGGTGTTTTGCTCAGAATAAAATTATAGTATATAGCTGAAGCATGTATCTGTCTTGGATAGTTTTATAGGGTGCTAATATCACACCAAGTGACTTTTACAAAGATGGAACATGATACAACTACACAATGTCTTGATGCTTTTGGAAGATAAAGTTGAGAAGAGGTATATGCTCCTCTGGTGTTCAGTCCTATAGTCATAGTCTTGTAGAAGGTCTTGAAACAGCCCGTTGTGTTGGCTGAGTGTTACTGCAAAGCATTTGTCAATGGGTTTGCCGCCTTGTTAGCAGGATGGACTCAGTTTTATGCTGCTTCCATGTTGTTACAGGTCTGTACTGTAAGCATAGTAAGTTGCTGTTCTACTTCTGTGCCTAACTCCATTTGTGAAGACAAGACAAAAAAACAACCCCCAAAAACTCCCACTCCCCCAAAAAAGTTGTGGTTTTTTTCTTTGTTTTGCCTGGTGTGTCTGCTTCAAAAGTTAGGTGAATGTTTTTGACATAGCCGTCAACTTCCAAACTGGGAGCAAACCAAAGTCAAAGCAAAAACGTAGGGGTGATTTTGAAGGTATGAAAAACTAATGACAGAGGAAGAAAACACATTGTAACATTTGCTGTTTTGTAATTGATGTTGCCAGAAGATTCAGAAAGATTATTTCTTTGAGTTCAAGCTTACCTGTTGTTTCAATATGTTTTATGGAGAAATGTGTACATCAATAATTTGTGAAGATGTGCGCTATAAAGATATGTAAATCTTAGAGGTGTAGATGTGTCTGAGCAAAGGCAATAAAATACGTAATAAGTAAGCTGCATAAGAACATGCAGGTTGTCAACTGTGTAGGTTGTTGGTTCTGGAATTTACAGGCCCATCTGCAGCAGCAAAAGGGAGACACGTTGTAAACCTCTCAGGCTTACGTTTTCGGATGAAAGACTGATGGAGCTTCTGTGTACGGTGAACAGTTTGGTACAGGACTAAGAAAGCTGTAGTCCGTTGTAGCTTCCCAAGCCCATTAGTTGTGGTTCAGGGAACTTACAGCGTCACTGGTGAAGCCTGTGGAGCTTGTAAGCAGTGCAAGCCTGAACTTGACAGCAGCCTCAGACACCCAGTAGCCAGAAGTAGATAGGCAGAGCAAAGGGCTGGTGAGGATACAACACTGATCCAGGTTGGAAACAGAAGAGGTGGTGATTCTTGTGCAAGCAATACCCTGAGATGAGGAAAGTCCATTTTTCATATTAACTTCATGTTTGTGATGTGTCTGATAGCTCTGAAACTCCTGTTGGGGTTTTTGAAAGAAGAGTGAGCTCTCTTCACCCCCACAGCTTTTGGAATAGAGCCTGTGCTAATTTGGTGTTTTTTCATCCACAAAGAAAACCAGTGCTACTGTCTGCATTTGCATTCCCAAGCAGCAGCTAACTGAAACTGGCAAAACCGGTCACTTTGGATTTGGGGTGAAGCTGGGATAAATGCTGATTTCATTCTGCTGCTTGGAAAAAAAAGCCAACCTGTGAGCAGCAAGAGAAACCATGAAGCTGCCTGAAGGTACAGGAAGCAGAGCTACATGGTTTACACTTTAGAATGTGTTTGCAAACATGCTTTTAGGAAAAAGAGCTCTAGTCCCTGCTGAGAGTGGATAAATATTTGGGTTTTTTCCAAGCCCTGGTACAAAGCAAATAACTGAAGTTTGAAGAATTCCCCAGTACATCTATTGAAACAAGCAGTGCTTAAGAACGGCAGAAAATAGTTAACTCTGAAAACAGGTGACTCAAGGGACAAAAAAAATTAATGCAAGATGTGAACTGTGGCAATGAGTTCTTGGGTTAACAAATTCTTAAAGATGATTTTCTCTGCTATGCTCTTTCTTCCTCATTGTCTGTATGTTAGTATTGTCTACTCCCGGTGTGTCCAGATATGTTCTGCTTTGTTGTTCAATCAGTGCCACAGAAGAAACATTTGTACCTGGAATTTCCTAGCCTGAGTGCTTGTAATCAGATCATAGTTGCTCTGCTGCCTCACTGTGCATTTCTGACTTAAACGCAGTTCTGCATGTGCTGAACCTCTGACACATCTTACTAACTAGGTACAGCTCTTCTGAGATGCATCATGTAGCAGTTCTCGGGGCTGTTTTTTTGGTTTTTTTTTTTTTCAGTAACTGCTGTTTATATAGAGGAACAGGGCAACCTTCAGGAAACTGCTACTGCATACTGCAGCACACTTCAAACTTGACCTGAAGGAATTCCCTGTAGGCATGATAGGCTCATTAAGTCCCCTTGGTGATTTAATTCCTGGTGCTTTTGAGACATCAAACTAGGAAGGGAATTAATGTCGATATACAGGATATATTCACTGTCCTTAAATGTGACAAACGTCTTTGCTCTGAATGGCAATAGTGTGGTAGCGCTGTCTATGAGATTGATTAAATTTGATAGCGTGAGTCCAAATTGCTTTGCAAATAAATATACAGTCAAACTGCAATGATGAAATAAAATGGACCAGTTATTCCATGTGAGTCAGAATGGAATCAGAATAGCAGTGAACTCAGAAGAAGAAATCCCTGAGAGCTCTTGTTCTTATGTTGTGTGAGTTTCAGAGCTGCAAATTTCAAAATATTATCCAAAGGTGATGCTGGTGTCCAGCTGGCTACTCCTTGGGAACAAGTTACTGAATTTACAAGAACATGTTTCTGCCATATCAGACCGATACCTCACAGAAGCACAAAGTATGCTAGAAGTCTGTGTTGCATGTCCTGGTTTTCTCATTAGGAAGCACTTTTGCAGTTGCAGCACAGGTTTCATTGCCTTATATCACAGCACACAACTGCCATGTTCTGTTTTCGTTTCAGCAACCTTAAGTGAACAGAGAATGTGTTATCCTTATCTGCCTAGAAAAAATAAGTTTCAGATTAAAACTGCTCTCAACCCTGGCTGATTATGTATTTGACGGTATTGGTAAACTTTTGGTTAGTAGTTTGGCATAAATATTAAGACTGGTGAATCAGCTGGAGAGACAGCAGGGGAATTCTTCCTACGTTTGTATAAGACCAGGCAGAAGACAAACTAATTATCCTCGACTTTAGAGCAAATTAGGAATTCTAAGGACAGCTATCTTAGTGGCAAGTATATGCTTGTAAATTTCTTGTTTCTCCTTAAAAATAAATTTTTTTTTCACACCCCAGTACTTGCAGTGTTTCTTTGCTAGAAAATGCTGAATGCTGCTGTTTATTCCCTTGTGAAAACTGTCAAGAACAAATGTAATTTCTAAAATAAACTAATCCTTTTTTCCATTCCTCTAAAATGAAGTTACTTGTGTGTTCTTCAAGGCAAAGATTTTCTTTCTGCTCAAGTCTGCATCAGGCCCCATCTTGGTTAAAAGTTACTGTAAGACTGGTTTGGGAAAGTGCTAAAGGATGTGCTTATGCTTCATTGATCTGAATGCTGAATAGTGACTGTCTCAATTGCAAGCAGTAAATGGCAGTGCTTGAACTTCAGAAATGTGCAAGTTCTTTTCTTCTTTGTGCATGTCACAGCACATTCCTTTTGCTTAAAATTGTGTCTGGAGGTTTTGATATACAGCAAATTTAGGAACAAGTTAAAATCTTGATTTCTGAGAACAAGTGGCTAGGAGAGCCTTAGCCATGTAAGTTCTAGTAGGCATTATATATTGATCTCCAGCACTGCTGCTATGTTCTCTAAAGACTAATGTCCCTCCAGCATACTTCTTGATGTTACAGGACTGTTGCCTTGAAGATTCCGTGGAGGAATTGTTAGCTTATCATGGATAGCACATCTGCGATTGCCTTGTTGCAAACATTTTAGAGAGTCGTGAAAGTGACATATGAGAAACAGAGAGCTGGAAAATTTAATAGCATCTAGCAGTGTCACAGTATATGTGCTGTAGTTTTTAGATTATCTGTAGACAGCTGACTTGTGAGAAAATACTTAGTTTTGAGGTGATTTAGGCAGGATGGCAAGTTGCCGAATGAATGGTGAAGCATAGAGTTCATGCCTTTCTTGTTAACTGGGTATGTATTTATTTTCAATTATAGGTTGGCAGTAAGCACACAATGAATGAGCACCTCCATGTTGGTAGCCATGGACAAATCCAGGTTCAGGAGTAACAAGAGGACGGTTCTGACGACACAGCCAAATGGACTTACAACGCTAGGCAAATCTGGATTGCCAGTGGTTCAGGACAGACAGTCAGAGAGTGCTCACAGACGACAAGGGAGCTCCAGCTCTTTAAAATCTACAGATGGAACAGGGAAGGTGAAAGCCTCTGTTATGACACCAGAGCAGGCAATGAAGCAATACATGCAAAAATTAACAGCCTTTGAGCATCATGAGATTTTTAGCTACCCTGAAATACACTTTTTGGGTCCAAATGCAAAGAAGCGGCAAGGTGTGGTTGGTGGTTCAAACAATTGCGGGTATGATGATGACCAAGGGTCTTATATACAAGTACCCCATGATCATATTGCGTACAGGTATGAAGTCCTGAAAGTTATAGGGAAAGGAAGCTTTGGGCAGGTGGTGAAGGCCTATGATCACAAGACGCATCAGCATGTGGCACTAAAAATGGTGAGAAATGAAAAACGTTTCCACCGCCAAGCTGCGGAAGAAATTAAGATCCTGGAGCACCTCCGGAAACAAGATAAGGATAACAACATGAACGTTATTCACATGTTGGAAAACTTCACATTCCGCAGCCATATCTGCATGACATTTGAATTGCTGAGCATGAACCTGTATGAGTTAATAAAGAAAAACAAGTTTCAGGGCTTTAGCCTGCCTTTGGTCCGCAAGTTTGCCCACTCAATTTTACAGTGCTTGGATGCTTTGCACAAAAACAGAATCATTCACTGTGACCTTAAACCTGAGAACATTCTGTTGAAACAACAGGGTAGAAGTGGTATCAAAGTGATTGATTTTGGCTCAAGTTGCTACGAGCATCAGCGTGTCTACACTTACATTCAGTCTCGTTTTTACCGTGCACCTGAAGTCATCCTTGGTGCTCGTTATGGGATGCCCATAGATATGTGGAGCTTGGGCTGTATTCTAGCAGAGCTTCTCACTGGTTATCCACTTTTACCTGGAGAAGACGAAGGAGACCAGCTGGCTTGTATGATTGAGCTATTGGGCATGCCTTCTCCAAAACTCTTAGATTCCTCCAAGCGAGCCAAAAACTTTGTGAGCTCCAAGGGTTATCCCCGCTATTGCAGCATCACAACCTTGTCTGATGGCTCTGTAATACTTAATGGTGGACGCTCTCGGAGGGGAAAACTACGTGGCCCACCAGAGAGCAGAGAATGGGGTAATGCATTAAAGGGATGTGATGATCCCCTGTTCCTCGACTTCTTAAAACAGTGTTTAGAATGGGATCCTGCTATCCGTATGACACCCAGCCAGGCTTTGCGGCATCCCTGGCTAAGGAGACGGTTGCCAAAGCCTCCAACTGGGGAAAAGGCCTCGGTGAAGAGAATTACAGAGAGCACTGGTGCTATAACGTCGCTTTCCAAGTTACCTCCGACTTCAAGCTCAGCTTCAAAACTGAGGACTAATTTGGCACAGATGACAGATGCCAATGGGAATATTCAGCAAAGAACAGTGTTGCCAAAACTCGTTAGCTGAGTTTGAAAAACCCAATGCTGTTAGTATGAGAGATACAATGTGGCTGAGCCTTATTTGTATGAAAAAGTAGCCCAGATATACATTTTTATTTGCTCAATAACTTTATTCATTTGTATCTTCCAGCACTCATTTTAAACGTAAGAATTGTTGATTTTGTTTTTATAAAAACACGGGGACAATGCTTTAAGTTTTTATACTTATTTTTTAAAATATTTGTCTTCTACAGTACAATTAGCCTTACTGTAACTAGTGTGACACAGTAATAAACATCAGTGGCAGGCCACTGGTTACAACATGACTGTCATGCATTGCAGCGTGGTGTCAAAGGTATTAACCTTACTTTTCCATGGTTCATATTAGATTTCACCTGGGGTAAATTGGTAAGACTATACCTTTCCTGTTTTATGGGTCTGGGTCTTGATTCTGCAAACACTCACACCTATGCCTGACTGGACTCCAGGGAGAATACTCAAAGAAAGGCAGTTAAGCACCTGTAAACTTCTAATATGAAGTGGAGCCATAGCGTGTTAATGTTGTCATTTTCTGTGTGGTAGCCCAGAGAAATTAGTGGTATTACTAATGATACAGTCACCTCCTATGGAATGCTTTCTCTATTCAAAAGTAATGTTTTTGATTAAAATGAGCATTTAAATAGAATGCAAAAAATAAGAACTTCTGGGGCTAAAATGACTCTCTTACATGCTGTGTGGTAGAGTGAGAGGAATAGACAGTCTCAGAAAGAATGAAGTTGGAAGTCTGTCCCTCTAAATCTGAAAGCGACTGATGGGTTGTTAAAGCAAAATGATCTGGGCTTCATTTCAGGTATATAACACTGAGCATTCACACTGAGTTTCTCTCCCTCTCTTCCCCCTCCTCTCCTGTTTCTCTCCTAATGTGCAGCTTGATCTCCCTGAATCACGTAGGCAGAAGTGCTTGTTTTGTCAGTTTTGTGCTGTAACTTCCAGACTGTTATGCTACATGGATTTCACAGATTGCTTTTATTTCTTCTGACAATGTTTGTCTGAGCAACTGTGACCTCTCTGGTACATTTACACTTCAGATCAAATCTGCATGTAGGGAAAACACTATGTTACTACATTGCTTTCCGTAGGACAGTACTTCATCTTAGACAGCATAACTGTAGATGGAAAGATCCTTGGTGGAAAGCTTTGTAGTTGGCAGACGCCGTCCTAGATACTTTCTAGTAAGGGAGAATTATCAAAGGAAAGTTAAATGATGGGAATTTCATTTAATCTTTGGCATTTTTAGCTGAAGATTACTTTGAAGGAACAGTTAGAGATATGTGTAGATTTGTTCACATCTGTGTGTGCGCTAATGCTTGTTTTTTCTTTTTTACTTTGAATTACATTCATGGAAGAAAGATGGTCTTTACTGAGGAATAGTATCTAGACCTATGAGAGAAAAATTCACCCCTTGTAGCATGTTTTCAACAGGAACAGTTTGAAATCTAAGATCAGTATCTCATCACGTACAATGGCTGTGGTCTACACTGGATATATAAAACATATGCAAAGGGAATTTTAAACAAAGTAGAACGTAATCTAGAACGGTTTATGGATGTTTGAACGACATACTAGAACGGATTGCATTAAACCTCAATAACTGTACTATAAGCAACATTTATATGCACAGATTTTACTGAGTTACTTGTACAAATTACGAAAAATACTTAAAGCATGGTCCCCTGAGAGGCCAAGAAAGTTTCCGGTTAAGTTCTCCTTCATATTCATTACAGCTTAATTTTTTTTTTTGGTTGGTCATTTGGTTTATTTTTAATTTAATGTAAGACCGGGGGAGGGATATAAATACAAAACGACAGAATTCTCAGGAAACATATCGCTTAACTTCTTGCCAAAAAGTCAACACCTAAAGAAGCTCCAAAAATAATTTATGAGTAGAGGATGGTATTTGTTGATTGATGTCTGTAAAAATCAGAGCATCAATCAACCATTTTTCTTACTTTTTTAAGAAAGGATCATTTCCTGCCTCTAGTCAATTTAAATTATTTAGTGTTAAATGTTCGCGACTTTATACAATGTGTGTAAGTGCAATATGTAAACATGTATGAAATCATGTGAAAATGAAATATAGTAATACAGCTAAGAAAAATGGCTTTTGGAATATGAATATCCAGTAAGTTATGATCAGTAAATTCTAAGTCTGGAAAAGAGATATATTAATTTTCATATAAAATTAGCTGACTCTCATGACTGTGGGAATACAGTACGGTGTATTTTTCTACAGTAACTGGGAATCTTTACTTCCTCCACTACCTACTTGGTGTTACCACTCCTTTCTACCTTAACTCTGCCTGCAAAAGTTAAGAAATAGGGATGCTTATGTTAGGGGCGGAAGAAGAATCACCTCCCTTAATCTCTTTTAAAGGGAACATTGATGCGTGTTCCTGCCTTTCATGGCAATTTAAGGTGAAAACATTTACAATGTTCATGGGTCATTAATGGGCTAAAACCACTAAATTTTCTTTTTCATGTAACCAGTTCTTAATGCCAATAGTGCATTTATGATCCACCTTCTTCATAAATGCTACCGGAAACTTTAAGGCCAAAATACAGTGTGCAGAGCTATTTTTTTAACCCAGATACAAGTGGAACTTCCTCTATACTAAAGGAGCAGCTACATCAAGGTTTTTAAGTGATGTAGCTGCTTTTTATTGTAGCTTATTTATACCTGTAAAAAAAAAAGGGGAGGGGGAGGACGTTGCCTCTTGCTTTGATGTGATTTTATTCTAAGGGCTCTGATAATTAGGCTGATAGAAGTTGGCTTGGAAACAGTGCTTAGCCTCACATGTTACCATTGTCTGGGGATGTCTGAGCTATTTTCAGATTTAGTAAATAGCACAGTGTTGTCTTGTCTTTGGTTGCAGTCTCACTTGGCTCAGTTTCTTGCACCACTGGAGTGTTCATTACCACTTAAGTGTATTGGAACAACATCGTGATGCAAGATGTGTAGATTAACAATAGAGGATGAATTGTGCCCTTGGTGTTAACAATGTGCCTTTTGTTACAAATGCCGTGTTGTAGGGCGTGCATCTTGGCCTCTTTAACCCTGTGAATACTGGATAGTAGGGATGAAATAATATTTTTAAATGCTATACCTGTCTTAAAACATCCTGTAGATGATCGAGGCCTTAATAGAAACAATAAGGCAATCGCACTGCTAGGGTGGAGAGGACACTGTTCGTGTGGTACGTCTTGTTAAGGGGTTAAAGATGGCCCTTCCTCATTGGTTGTACTTTTAACATCAAATTGATTTTTTTTTTTTAATAAATTTTTGTTATGGTGACACTAGACAGAAATCAACTGTATTTGTAAAAATTTACCTCAAACTCTTTAGTTTTATAGTGTGATTTAATCCCAGGGCATTTGGTATGAACCAAAGTGCATTCCTTTTATATGTGCCTGGCTCTTGTAAAGGTGGCCAGGGATTTTTACAATTTGGGTGCAAGGCACTTAAGCCACTTTTAACTTGGTGGGTGGTATGGAGTTAGAAATGACTTCATGGGAATGTTGAAAACACTTTAGACATAAGTAGCATTGGGCAATATTAGAATCTTTAGGAAAGGGTGTGCATTATTTAATGCTCTCCATTTTTTCAGTATTTTTTTTCCATCAATAATATTTGTGATAAGTACAAAAAGAACTCTTTTTCCAGTTAGCAAAGATTACAATATTGCCCAGTTTAATGCTATGGTAGCATTTAAATAAAATAACATTTGTGAATTATTGTTTCTAGGGGCTTGTACATCTCTGCTACAAATTGTAATTGCTCAGTCCAACTGCTACAATTACATCTAAGCAGTAGCTTGGGTTTTTGTTGGGCAACGACTTAGACACGTGACTGTAATATGCTGCAACTGTGTGTACTGAAAACATGTGAAAAACGATTGAATGTGGACTGTGTATATATGTATGTATAATTATCTGTGAGATGCTGCTGTTGCCACTTGACATTAAAGATGTTGTAGTGGGTTTTAATCCTAGTGGCCAGTTTTATGATACTGTATGTATTGTACAGCTGATGAGGGGAGTTAAGACTGTTCCAGTGAATATTTGTTACATTTTATTGTTGTGGCCAGAGATCATTTCAGAATAAAATTTTATGTCCTACTTTACTTCTCACCACTGTAGTTTGGGTTTTTTTTTGGGTCGTAAAGAGAGCCCTTGGAGTGCTGGCATTTCTTAAACATGGAAAGGCCTGCTCCTCACCAGCTGAAGTCAATGCCAGCAGTGCCTCTGTCCCCCAGCATGCTTACTGGTATCTGTGTATAGTCATGACCCATTGCTGGAGGAGGACTTTGCTGCTGCTTTATGTATCTTGACAGTCTTGAGTAGTGCCCAAAAGGCTGCTTTTGCCCTGAGGTTTCTCAAGTTCTTCTCAGGACTTAGGAAGTAATATATTTTGTATTTTTATTTGCCCCATACTTGAGAAAACCATCCTTGCCAGGAATTTTGCCTGCATGGGTGTTTTAATTTTTTTTTAGCTGCTTTTTAAAGATTTAAAAAATAACAATAGATCTGATTTTACAGGAGGTACTTGATTGGGAAAGATGCAGTGTATATTCTTTTTCTCAAAACTGCTTTAAAAAAGCCCAGATTTCTGCACTGGTTTTTCAGTTGAACTGACTTTTCAGAACTTGTCAAGGCTTCATAAAGTCCCGGGATAATGAGAACATACTACACAAAGCTGGTAGGCTAGACTGAGCTAAATTCTGCTCACATACAAATCCAGAGTAATTTCACTGTTTAGCGCAGAACTATCATCTTGTGAGTAATTGGCCACATTCTCTTTCTGGTAATGTCAATGTACACCCAGAGCAGTTTCACTGAAAAGCTTTCTGCTTCAGGTGAGCACAGGCTGAAATCAAGGGACTTTAACTGAAATTTACTGTCTCCTACTGAGCATTGTTGAGAGATTCCAGAGCACAAAAAGCATCAAGATTAAATATAAAAACAGCTTACAGCCCCAAAGAGCAGCAAGCCAAAAATCACAGCTTTGTGGAGTAAAACCTATTTTTTAATTACTGTGCTCTGCTGAGGACTCTGGTGAGCCTTTTAATTTTTTAGTTATTTTAGCCTTTTTTTGGTGGATTTCTTTTCCTTCTAATGTGTCTCGCACCCTCTCCTCCAGCCATCTATCCCTCTTACCAGCTCTTGTACGCTTTGGCCACATCTATTTTTTTCATTTGAAGAAGGGTAGGGGCCATCTCGCCTATTTCAGTTGTCTGGAAGTTGGGTTTTGGCCTGTGCTGTTTGCTGAGACTCCCAGTAGCTGGTGGGGAAAACTGTGTTGCCCGCCGTCAGCGCTGCTCCCTCCCTGGTCTCTGCCAGAGAGCTCGGATCCCTGGCTAAAATGGGGCCCTGGGAATCCCACCCTCAATGATGGTCTGTAGCTGCTGTTACCTCCATAGTACTTCCTTTTGCGAAGAAGTTGTGGCTTCCTTTGGATGTCAGCTGTTGTGTCTCTTAGGGTTTTTTTACAGCAAAACAAGTAAAGAATGTGAGAAGTGTATAATTATGTTCAGGTACCATGTTCTTCACTTCTAGGTTATGCTGCTTTTCTTAAAAATCCCATTTTGTCCCTTTTTTTTAAGATCTTCTTATTGCAAGATCCAGCATGAATTTTAC